GAGGGGTAGAGGTAGACCTAGATTAGATTACTCTTCGCAAATAGTTAAGGATGTGGGCTGTTCTAGTTTTAGGGAAATGCGAAGTTTAGCTCAGGATAGGAAAGAGTGGAGGTACGTGTCCAACCTGTCTTAGGACTGATGACCTTAAATAGCTAGTAAATTTATTTCTGCTGGGATATCATTTTTACAAATTCGGGTCCAAATTGTAATTTTTATTATTTTCGCTTACGAAGCAATAGGTTAATGGGATAAATTGTAAATATCGCTTAATATTCAGATAAATTTTCCTTCTTTATTTTCTCCAAGTAAGACTATTTGGTATAAAAAAGAAAGTTGTCTTTAATGGTGTAAAATTTTAATATCAATTCTACTTTCATTCTTATAAGAAATTATATGTTCACTTAACTAAGTTAAAAAATGTCATTGTATAGCATGATCATAAATCTGCTTGAATATCAAATTGCATAAATGTCCAGTTTCACTGTTTTCCATACGACATGAACAATAGAAATATAAAGTGGTTTTCCACCTACTTTACAATAAGACTGTCAATGTTGACTGCAATTAATCATATGTTCAACTTTCTTTTACTTTCATAGCAATCTGTCAACTCATTTATGTGCTATAATTTATATTCTTTTGAATGAGAGCAAGGTCTTTTGAATAGCAATGCTATAAAGACGATGTAATTATACAAATGTACTTATAACAAGTACATATATTCCGGTATTCCACAAAATATTTTATTAATTCATCATCATGATCATTCCTAAGACTGGTTGGACACGTGCCTTCACTTCTTCCTATCCTGAGCTAATCTTCACATTTCCTTAAAACTAGAACATCTAATCAATCTAGGTCTACCTCTACTCTCCTTAACTCCTGTTTTTGCATCTAATATGTCTAGATGTCCTACCAACTATTTTGTATTGACTTCCATGGAGTTCTCGGTTCCCCTATTCTTTCTAATACCTCTTCATTTCTAACCTTCCTTACCCACGATATCCTCATCATTCGCTGGTAACACCACATTTCAAACGCCTCTAACCTTTTCTTTTCCGCCGCGCCCACTGTCCACGTTTCGCTCCCGTACAGCGCCGCGCTCCATACATACACCCTTAACAACCTTTTTCGAATTTCTAAAGTAATCGTTCGCGAACATAGAAGTAACTTCTTTTTATTCAAGGCGACTCGACTCTGCACTATCCTCTGCTTTATATCCCTACTACTCCTTCCGTCCTAACTTATCAGACTTCCTAGATACCCAAAATCAGCCACTTCTTCTAATCTTTCGTCTCTTATCTTTACATTCGCTCTTTCCCTACTTTTTCTTTCTATGCAAACCACTATTTTTGTTTTACTTTTATTTATACAATACATACAATACTGTTTTGTCAATATCGCTTCCATTGTATTTAAAGCTATCTCTAACTCCTCATGCAAAAAAAAAATAAAGAAACGACCAATCGAGTAAGGATTTAAGTTTTAAATTTCAAATATCTAAATTTAAATGATTGATATAATTTCGGTTGAATATCCAATAGACTCGTAATGAAATGATTCTCCTTGTACCATAAGTTGTATGCTCCTTTTAGTTAACAGTAATTATTGGTTATCACAGCTATTTTTGAACAGATAATGATCGAGTATCAACTGTTTATAATGTGACTTCGAAAAATTAATAAGTTCAATTAAACAGTAGGATGAACATTTAAAAATAATTGTACACTTCCATATTTTCCTAGCGGAATATCTAATAATTAATATACTTTCTCGTATGCAATTACATTTGAAAATTAATTTCTGTCTTTTTAATTATGGTAAGCATGAGGCCAAATAAATCTGAAATAAACATTAGGTATTTAATGTTTAGGTGAAGTATTGAATGATGAAGGAGCATCAAATTATAACTACCAATTTTAGGTAGTAAAAATTGAATTTATTAGCTATTAAGGCTTATTTATTGCCTGGAAAATAACTCGCCGAATAACGTTAGATCGATGTAACGGTGATATCAGTTTTGGTAGTGCGTTTATTGAAGTAAAAAGTAGAAGTAGGTGACGATTTTTCAAACAGTTTGCAGGAAACTCGGGTTTATTTAAAACTTTTACGTATGTATGAGTAAATGCAGTTCTCGTAACATCGCGTGTTAGCAATAAAATTTATGAGCAGTTATTTTGGCATCTTTTATTGCATTACTTATACAGAAAAAAGGAGTGGTATAGATATAGAATATTCTAAATAGGTGTCGAACAAATGAACTATCGCCTGACCAGGACCAGGTCACAAGTAATCCTGCATTATTTGAAAATGTACATAATAATAAATAAACTGTAATATTCAATATTATAGGTTGTCAGTTCAAATACTGATTAGACACGCACTTTAATTTCATTTTATTGTGAGCTGACCTTCGCATTTCCTTAAAGCTAGAAGATACACACCCCTAACTATCTGAGAACAGAAATCTAATCTAGTTCTATACTTCGTTTACTTTCTGTAGCGATGTGACTTTCAGTTTGACCGGCGCAAAGTAGAAAAGAACAGCACTAGGAAAGGAAGGAGACAACTCTCGGTCAAACTCTTAACCGGCGAAGAGCGTATAATCCGTACAGTACTGCACGGAAAAATTAACCACATTATCCACTACAATTCCATTACTCAAATGTGCTGTTATTGGTACCATTTATTACTGAAAATATCAACAAGATGTTTATTTATATTTGAAAACATATTAAAGACTTTAACGCTTGTTTTCAACTCACACTACTATTCGTGATTGAACAAAACTTTTGGCAGGTACTGTATGTAAAAGTATGCTTAATGAACAAGAGTCGAAAGTATAATGAGTTTTTTCTAACTACATACTGTTTTTACTTCTAATATGTAATATGACCCTATCATAAATAACCATTCTTGTCTTAGATATTCTACAAATCCTATCTCTGTTTTTTCTTACTGATTTCCAATCTTTTGGTTTCTTACTCTTTCTAATTTTCCTTATTTAAAACCTTTTATAACTACGGTATCAAAATCACCCGCTTGTGTATCTCAAACGCTTCTAATTTTTCTTTTTACGCCGTGTCTACCGTCCACGTTTCGCACCCGTAGAGTATAAATACACTCCAATATACACTTCTAACAATCTTTTTCGATTTTCTAAATTAACCTTCCACTTTGAAACGTCAACTTCGAGCAAACATACGAAAACGTCACTTTTGGTGAATATACGAAAACGTTACTTTTTGATAAATATACGCAAACTTCCCTTTCGGGTAAGTATTTGTTAACAATGACTTTTTTTTTAGGTTAGGTTATCGACGAGGGCAAGGCCACGTGGCCGAGCTGTAAGTGACGAGATACGGCTGGAATAAACGTTCCATTGAGGACGTTACACAGACTGCGATTCCCATGAACGTTTACAGAACTTTAGACATTCCAAATAGTGATTCGAGATAGAAGACGAGAATGTTGTTTTCGTCAAATTAACTAGAATATTGTTAGCGATCACCCTATATATTACGATATACTGTGAATTATGACTCTCCGAAATGAAAACGTTAATATGTATAGACGACATAACCGGGACAAAGACAGTTAATGTACATGTGTGTGTGATAGAAACGATTTGATTAAATTGTTATACTATTCTTCTAACAATATGTAATTCCTAATAATGAAAATTCTAAGAAAAAATGTTAAGGACGCTACGAAGGAATGTGGAATAAATGAATTTTATCAGCATTTTGTGCAGCAGATTTTTTTAGAAGGCAGGTTACACCACTCAAATTTTTGAAAATTTATCAATTTGCATAATTTAGTGAGAAGCCTTGGGAGGTGTTAGGTTTTATTAAAAAAAATTGAGAGTTCGATTAGTTTATCTTCATATAGACATGGTTCAAAACGTATATTCTACGTGATACAAAATACATACTTTCACTCGTGCGACTAAAACGAAAAAATTTCGACAAATAAATGTACATATTCTATGGTCAATGGACAATTTGCCCTACTTGTACTGGTAGAAGAAGAAGTCAAAGAAAAGCTGCCTCTGATCATAAGAGTATGAACGTATGCCTATGTACGTTACCACTACATATTTTATATTTGCACTATATCTGCGAAAGGAATAATTTACTTTTAACTGATACTAGAAAGTTATTATTGACTCACCTGTATTGTTATTATCGCGTCAGTGTATTGGATGCCATCGCTTGCTCTGACCGACAGCTTGTACAATTCCTTCGTTTCTCTATCCAGTGGTTCGGCAAGTTTGAGCACACCGGTCGATTTATTGAGCGAAAAATGGCCTTCGTGTCCTGGCAGGAGTGTGTACTCCAATGTGCCGATAGTGTCAGGATCATCGGCACTAATTGTGGACACCGGCTGACCTGGACTTAAGTCTTCCGATACGGAGAATTTGAGAGAGGTTTCTTTGAAAGAAGGCGGACTGTCGTTTTTATCCAATACCGTTATTCGAACCTGCAAGAGATACATGAGCTTGTTATTTGTATGAATTAATTAGGTTCGATTGCGAAATAAATAATATAAAAGAAACATGGGCTTTTAAGGAACTTATCGGTTAACGAACGTCGATAAGTAGGTGAGTGAAGGAACACAGAGTAATTACATAAATTGATGTAGGAAGTAGGAAGTAATAAACATTGTATAGTTTGTACCGTGACTGGAAGAACACGCCACATTTTCTTTTATTTAATTGATTATTAATCCTTTTCAACATTACTTTATTTTAAACAAAGACTTCGCACTATCTCATTTTTGATCTTTTATTCAACTTTAACTTGAACCAGTAGGAATATCTAATAGATATACAATCATACTCACATATATCCTTTAACTTTAACGCCCCACTAGCAAATCAGTAATTAATGAGACGCAGTGCTTACTTCCTTTTTATAAATTTTACCAGTAGCATTTGTAATACGTTTATTCGTGAGAACGCAAAAGGATTTTATACATCGATTTACATATTTAAAAGGATAAACTGACTGACTGAATGATATATCAACACACAATCCAAGCCTCTGGATCTAATGACCTGAAATTTTGCATAGACATCTACTATATATATAAAAAAGAATTAGTTACACTATTTATAACTCAAGAGCGGCTGAACCGATTTGGCTGAAAATTGGTGGGGAGGTAGCTTAGAACCAGGAGACGGACATAGGATACTTTTTATCCCGTTCCCGTGGAAAAAAAAACGTGCTATAAGAAAACGCAACTGACATGGAATGACAAAACGCAACTGACGGCAAAACGAAAAATTTATCAGCCAAAACATCAATCTAGCGGTTCATTTGTTGAAAATGGTATAACAAAACGCAATTGACATGAAATAACAAAACGCAACTGACATTAAAAAGTAATGTTGTCTATGGTTAAGTATGGTGTTTTGTTTATAATCAGATTTACCTGAAACTTGACTTTAATACTTTTTCATATAAAATTAGTGACATACATACCTATTTCAACATTTTACAAAATTCTACCTCTTTAGGAAGCTGAAAGGGGTTTGTAAAGATTGCATGTTTGTTTTTGGTTCTTTTTCTTTGAAACTGGTTAAAAAATTCAATCTCTGTTGGGGGGATGAGTGGTGAAAAGGTGTTGCGATGTTTAAATGGACCATATATTATTTGTGATCAAATTTACTTGAAACTTAGTCTTGATGGTCTCTCATTTAATTTCTGAAAGACTTATCTCGACATTTTATTTTTAAAAATCAACCCTTAAGGATGAAATGTTGTTGCTACCTTTGTATTTGAAATCTAAGATGGCGACATTACATAAAATTAGGACGTTGTAAGGGTGAATTGGGAGTTAAAAGGTTTTATGGAGAAACAATATTAATTTCTGCGAGCGAATCCGAGGAGAATAGCTAGTTTTTCTTATACAATGCAAAAGAGCACTACGAAAGGATTATTTATAATTCAATCCCTAAAGAGGTGTAAAGAAGGTTCAAAGTTTCATGTACTTATTGATTAAGGCACAGCCGAAACTATTGAGTCGGCAGCTTGAAATTTTACGCAAACGTTCCTTATACTACGGTATTATCCACCTTAAAATGAGTCTCCAAAATACCACCCCTAAAGGTCTAAAATGGGCGCTGGGGTATAATCAAAGCAGACGAAGTCGCGAAAACTAGTGTGATACGTCTGTACGTAAAGTGCGTTAGCCTTTGGTCCAGTGATGCGTACCAAATGGTTCCTATAAAAATGAAGCTATAAATAATAAGAGCCAATCATGAAAGAAGAAAATGGTCGATGTAAGAAGGAATATGCCGCCCACCATACCCATATATCACGGTATTTGTGGTCTGACCTCGTTTCACCTTCGGTTATTCTGCATTTTGTAAACGCCGTGTCGAAGAAATTCTAACAGATGCTACATATGAAACAAATTCACGTAATTTCTGCTATTTTTGATAAAGTTTATTAGAAAGCATAACTGTTTATATTTAATAAATGTTTGTTTGTTAAACATTCACACTGTATACATATGAGAAATTGAAAGACTTGAATTCGCAAAGGTAAATTACTTTGGCAGTCCACCTTTGAAATCAGGAAAGAAAAACGTTATAGTAAGTGTTTAGTAAATACGACAAATGGCGCTGTAAACGCCATCTGTAGTACAATGCTAGATTTTAGGATTACGTATGCTTCAGCAAGGTCCATTTAAATATATGGATATCTACTTGCTGAAAACGAATCCCGGCGTAGCTCACCTCCACGTGGTAGACACGTTACCATAATCGTATAAAATAATTCGAAGTGGTCTGTATTCTGTCGAAACTGCCAGACACTGATCGCGATTTCGATCTTTTTGGATCTCATCAACGCGTCCTTGCTGAAGCATACGTAATCCTAAAGTGTAGCATTGTACTACAGATGGCGTCTACAGCGCCATTTGTCGTATTTTCTAAAACGCGCTGTTAAGGCAGCAGGTAAAAGTTGGTCTGTATTCTGTCGGAGCTGCCTGCGACGCGCTGATGAGATCCAAAAAGATCGAAATCACGATCCGTGTCTGGCAGTTTCGACAGAATACAGATCACTTCGAATTATTTTATTTAAGTGTATAGTGCTAATAATTATCTGTATTTTTATTCAAAAACAAATTTGTGATAATTAGGGGTGAGTATTCCTTTTAATTTTTAATTTTCTGTATTTGCTTAAACTNGAAAGTGATTAAACAAATTGTTCACAAAAGTGAATTTCGACCACTCAAAGCAATGGTGCTGAAAGTTTCGAGCTCACAGTGACTATATAGGGGGGGAACTTGTTTTTATAATGTAAATATGCGGTAATTTCAGAACATGTAAGAAACAACAAAAAGATCATACGCTCTAATATTTGGGAACGCATTTTCTAAGCAAAATCATATTTGGTTGCTGGCAACAGTTAAAATACAAAACTAACGTCAATTATAAAAAATGCACAATATTTGTCTCTTAGGTACCTATATTATTTGTATACAACAAAATGGTAATCTTAAACAAAAATAGGATTTACTTATTTTTTGGTGTCATTTAAATTATGTTTCTGTTTTAAGTAAATTAACGTGTATGTAATAAAGTCAGTGATATTGGTTTTGCACTTGGGTAGCCGACTACACAAGAACGGCCCTTATTATAATTTTAGAATTTCACTGAAATTGTTACATGACAGAAACGGTTTTGATGCATTAAAATACCTTGGTATTGTAAAATTATATATTTTTCATTACAAATTNGGGAAAAACATATTTCGCCCAAATGTTCGGGATTTTTGCAGTGTTTATCAGACGTCGGCAATTTAGGTGATGGCAATCCTATGCTAATCCAATACAGTATGTGTCATTTCTCAATCCAGATTGCATACTTTTGTTTTAATCGTTAATCACGATGATGGTAAAATTGTAGGAAGGTAATTTTAAATGGAAAAAAATTAGGTACTTTGTAAGAAACTTTTTACCACTGACCGCATAAACGATAATATGCAGGTAGTAGTCTGGTTTGGTGGTTTTGTTGAGGTGGAGAAACGAACTAACTAACGGCTCCAATGTACAATGTCATCGACGTTTCGTTGCGTTCGAGTTTTGTGTCGTTGTGTGAGCCAGAACTCGTTTCGAACGAGCAACAAATAAAGTCAATTACCGATTAATTTATTAAATAGGCTGGAAAAAGTTCATCAGCGCGCTCGGCGCTTCTCCGACAAGAAACACAAAAATGAGAATTGGACAACATTTAACATAAATACAATATAACTGCCGCGGATGGAATAAATTAAAAGTTGCCTGGACCGACCGCCAGAAAAACGAATTCCGAACGTTAGCCGGTGGAAACGTTTAAAAAACGCCATTGTTGACGAAACAAATTCAAAATGGCGACTGCCGACGTCACAGCTGCTGCGAACTGATATGTGAAGTAATTTGCTTTTTTTCGCGTTGACAGAAATACGCTTTAAATTTCGAATCTGTTGATTAATGTACCGAAACGAATTGGTCGGTGTCTGCCAATGAAAGACGTGTGTAAGCCAGTTAGTTGACATGTATACCTGACCGTTTAAGCTCGCTCTGAACATACTCGATCATCTCTTTAACAAATTGCAAAAATTACCGGACAGGCAAAATAAATTATATTATTTCAGCAATTCCAACTTTTGCGAAAGATGTGGATTCTGTGATCTCTAGATACCCTCTGTTTCTGATCGTGGATCAGGACCGTTCATAGTGGGAGTGTAAAAGGCGCCTCTGCTGTTTGTATGAATAAGGGCGGTTAAATTCCAAGACAAACATCTATTTTGTATCTAACTATAAACAGCTCTTTTTGCTAGCCCTTAGTCGAATATTAATGATGATTTTTATAATATTATATATAAAAGAAATTATGAGTGCTGTCAGCACAGGACAAAGTAGTATTACGTAAATGAAATTTAGTATCAGCAATTTCTTACCCTGAAGTGTACGATGTGTTGCATACCTATTTACAAACAATTCCTATAAATTTAATTTTTCAAATAATTTTTAACAAAGAAAGTGATTAAACAAATTGTTCACAAAAGTGAATTTCGACCACTCAAAGCAATGGTGCTGAAAGTTTCGAGCTCACAGTGACTATATAGGGGGGGAACTTGTTTTTATAATGTAAATATGCGGTAATTTCAGAACATGTAAGAAACAACAAAAAGATCATACGCTCTAATATTTGGGAACGCATTTTCTAAGCAAAATCATATTTGGTTGCTGGCAACAGTTAAAATACAAAACTAACGTCAATTATAAAAAATGCACAATATTTGTCTCTTAGGTACCTATATTATTTGTATACAACAAAATGGTAATCTTAAACAAAAATAGGATTTACTTATTTTTTGGTGTCATTTAAATTATGTTTCTGTTTTAAGTAAATTAACGTGTATGTAATAAAGTCAGTGATATTGGTTTTGCACTTGGGTAGCCGACTACACAAGAACGGCCCTTATTATAATTTTAGAATTTCACTGAAATTGTTACATGACAGAAACGGTTTTGATGCATTAAAATACCTTGGTATTGTAAAATTATATATTTTTCATTACA